AAGTTCGGTGAGCAGTTCGTTCTCTTCAGCCCATGCTGCCATATGTTCCTTGATAATGTGGGCGAAGGAGCGGTATACCGTAGAGGTCACGGTCAGGGGCCGATAATCCTTGAGGAACTGTTTGTCGGCCCCTCTCTTCGGGATCAGAACCACGCGGCCGACCCTCCAGTCTTGGGGCACAGGTTCCTCTCCCCTTAAGGCCCTGTCACACTGAGGCAACACGACGGCAACAGCAACACAACACGTTGTCCAACAGTCGGGCAACTTGTTGCTCGCTCCCCGTGTTGTCCGACAAAGCTGTCACACCGCGGCAACAGCACGACAACATGGACGACAACTAAAATGTTGCCTCGGTATGACAGCTTTCGGCAACAAAAACAGCAGCAACTTGTGTTGGACAACGAGTGTTGCCCCGATCGCTGGCTGAGCGAATTTCGGGCCGGCAACACGACAACATGGATAGCTTCGATGGCGGAGCTAGTCCCCTATCAATAAAGTCTTACTCAAACAAAGGCTTGGAAAACGTTATTTAACAATAATTAGGGCTGGCGTGCAGATAAAATATTTTCGATTAATGTTTTTGCTGCGTAGTTACGGAAAGCGATTTTCGAAATGGTCACAGCTACGGTCGTGAACGTTCAGACTGGTTTTGAAATTAGAACTCCCGAGAGACCAGCGCACATTACGGAAAGTGAAATAAAATGGCATGCCTACTCACCCATTAATAAAGTATAATAAAAATAATCCAGAAAACCTAAGATTAAAAAATCGAAGCATAAAACGACCACTCTGATCATGATTGTTGATGCTTGGAACTTGGGAACAGCCGCTACCAGACACCTGATTTGTTTTAAAAATACCCAGGACGTTTTGTGGGAATGAAGCGATCACGTAGCAGCGTAGGCCAGTAGACAGCGTTGAAAAATATTTATTTCACCGATTGTTATGAAGGCCGATGGTGTCGGTGTCGCAGTTTTGAAGCACTGTCAGTTCAGCTCAACACCACGTTACAAAAGACGCGTTGGGGTACTGCCGGTGCTAACGCAATTTTACAGTAGAAATAGGAATTGCATGAAAGAACCGGACAGAATCACTTCATACGGTGGCGTAAATCCCGAACAGACCTCAGCGATGTCACTTTCCTCGGTTAGGGCTATCTGCTTTGTCAGCGAATGAAGAACATTTCGATAAAATAAAGAGCGAAAAATACTCCCCGTGCCAAGTTTTCCAATCACAGTCACTGGTTGATGTCGTACCGTGGTAATTCCCGGCCCTTCGAACGCACTAGCACTTTGTAGAGTCACATTTCCAGCGATTCCGCGCCGCACACGAACGAAGGTAAACAATCAAGATGGCGGAGTATTCCCCGTGTTGTCCTAGCCGTCAGCGCGGTGTGACAGGGTTGTCGGACAACAAATCGGGCAACACGGTTGCCGGGCGGCAGCAACATGTTGCCCGACTGTTGTTGTTGCCTTGATGTGACAGGGTCGCCGGCAACACGACTTCCCCATGTTGCCGGATAGAGTTGTCCAACTGTTGCCTCAGTGTGACAGGGCCTTTAAGATTGCTCCAAAAATATCCGCCAGCTGCTCCACTGCATCTTTTCCCAAGGACTTGAGAACGCTCGCCGGGACCCCGTCCAATCCCTGGGAAGTAGCCCCTTGCAGGCGTGCCAGTGCACGTACAACCATCACTCGGCCGATGTCCCCCTCTTGGTTGGAGTCCGATTGATCCGGGGCAAGTCGGCCTTGTGGTGTGGACACCTCCTCAGGAGCAAACGTCTCCGTCAGGTACTTGGTGAGGTGGGTTCCAAGGTCTTCTGGCGGATTCCCCGTGCTCTCGTCAATTATGGTAACATCTTGGTCCTTTCCCTCCAGCGATCCAAGGTACTTCCAGAACTTTCTCGCTGCGTCCCTTCCGCTAGATCTAATATCTCGGACGGTCTCCAGATCCGCTGTTCTCATCTTCTCTTGGGTTAGTCGTTTAGCATAGCACTTGCAGTCGTGGTACATGGTCCATCTTCTAGCAACCTCACTCCCAGATTCAGTTCGGAGCGATTGTCGATGTTCCCTGTTGGCTTTCTGTCTAGCCAGTATAGCTTCTTTAACCTCTCTGTCCCACCACCTCTTCCTTACTCTCCGTCCACTGGGCTGCCTGGATGCATGTTGCTTGATGAGACGCTTGAGCTCTGTGATGTACTGTCTGTAACCAGACGCTTGTATCCTTATGTTGCGTCTTTCAAATTTCTTCGTGACCCTTTCCACCTCCTTCTGAGCCAGATGTGTTCGTCTCTTGTACTGAGGACGGGTTTTCGCCCTTGTCCATATGTTTTTACTGAAGTCCAGTCGCAGGCAATTGTGGTCGCTGCCGACGCTGTGCTCGCCTTCCTCGTCGATGGAAACACCAACTAGGCTCTTACCAAGGCGCGAAGACACCAACGCGTAATCTATGCAGGTTCTGCTTCCTCTGGCACACCACGTGTATTGACCCTTGCATGATGCCCGTAAGTTAACTAGTTCAAGTTGAAACTCGTCAGCTAGATTCAGTAGCCGACGCCCGTTAGCATCTTCCCATCCGTCAAGTTCATGGAGATGGCCGTTAAAGTCCCCCATGATCAAGACATTTCTGCCTTTCTCCAGTGCCTTAATATCTTTGGTGACACACGAAATAGTAGCTTCGTTCTCCTCGTCGCGCGCACTCCCCACCGAGAGATAGACAATACACACAGACACTTGGGTTTGAAGCAACTCTCCCTCCACCCAGATGTGATCTCTGCACTCGTCGAGCGTCCTGAGCCACACTGTCGTGTCCCGCCATAGAACCCCAACACCACCACCTCTTCGTTGACCCTCTTGGCGGTTGCACCCAGCCCAGTGCCAACCCGGGCGCACCGGGGGCTCCTATAGGTCTCTAAGGTGCGTTTCGGCCACCCCAAAGATGGCCATTCCTTCAGACTCCAACTGGTTAAAGAGTTCCTCCCACTTTTGCTCCCGTCGTGCTCCTTGCAGGTTGAGAAACCCTACTGTCACTGTCATGCTCCTGTGATGCTTCTTCCGTTTCCTCCTCGCAGCTCCACGTTTCAGTGCGCCTTTGTTGGAGCCGCGTTGCCGCTCTACTACTTCATGGGTACATGAACCCCGATGCCCAGCTGCTGGCTCACCGTCTCCGCTACCAGGCCGCTGAGCCACAAAGGAGGCATTGCTGGAGGGCTCATGTGCATAGGGTGTCGGACAAGCGGCGGCGGCGTGTACACGGTGGTTCGTCCATCCTGGACTGGCGTCAGTTCTGCAGTGATGTCCTCGCGGTGACATTGAAGAGTTGGGTCTTCTTGGATCCTCCTGGAAGCGTCTCCCATTGAAAGGCCGATTCCGGTCGGATGCCGCATCAGCCCCGGGTGGGCCCAACCCCGCTCTGGGTACGCCGATGTTCTTCCCCTCATCGACGGTTGCCAACCACTGTGGGCATGCCGCTCCTGCATGGTGGTCCCCTGTGGCGTGGATTGGTCTTTCTCTTCTCCACCCTGTTGGCGTCGGACGTATGCTCCCTGCGACAGTCGTTGTTGCCACAGTTCTCCACACGGCACGTGACCCACTAGCAGTGGGGCAGTCCTGGTCTGCCCACACTCTGTGCCAGCTGTCTGGTTCATAGGTTCGTGTATTGGCCGTTGTTGGGCAGGATTTACAAGTCCACCCTGCTCGCGGTCCTGTTGTGCCTTCATTCGTCTGTCCTTTCCTTTCCTGCCTAAAAAACGGTTGGCGAGTCCTACTAAGCGGCCAGTCACCATGTTGATGCCTTGGTTGCTGTACCGGAGCCCGTCCTTTTCCATAAAACTGTCATTTACCAAATTCCTGCTCAGGTCCACGTACTTGGCATGGATCTTCTTGCACATTTTTTTAAGCCTACAGTTCAGCATCATAGCCGCTGCTTAGGTCTCCTTTCCTCTGCTCGTGACTTCGGGGACAGAACAGACTGTCAGGGCAACTTCTCTGAAGCACCACTTCTTCTCCAGGGATTCTACTATGTCGTCTGGCTGCTGCCCTTGTAACAGGTCCTGCATTCCAACGTGCAATATATACATCCTGGGGATTCTCCGCGCCGTCGCTTCGTAGTCTGCAATCATCCTGTGCGCTATTTCGACCGTCGCCTTTCGGTTGAGTAGGACGTCGAAGGTTTGCCCGCCAGCCATCTGTTCGGAGAAAGCCGGGGCAATCCTCCCAACGTTACTGTCTCCTACGATCAGGACCTCTTTCTTCACTCCCCATGGCGGTCGTACCACTGACTTAGCACTAGCTTTGCTTTTTGCGGAAGTACTGGTGTCCTTCTCCCCTGGACCCTCATCCCTGTTGTCATCTGAACCTGCTAGTAGCTTGACGGAATCGACCACACTGTCTGCTAGCTTATCATCGTCTACCGTGCTCGAGGGACTTCCACTCTCTTTTTTTCCGATCGTCGGTGCGCCCCGCCGCTGGTCTTGTGCTCTGTTGCAGCCCTCCGACTTCCTGCTCTCTCCCACCCAGCCACTTCCCCTTGAGCAGTCTTCCCGTGTGTCGGCCAAGCATTCCTGTTTGTCATGGTTGTCATCAACAGCTTCATGTGGGACACTCGGCCGATTTTTTTCTTCCGTAGGCGGCGCATTTTCTCGTCCTCTAGACGGTGGTCCTTCCTGCTCTGGTGCATTTCTTTGGCCTGGTACCTTCACAAGCAGCCCCGACCATTCTTTCTCTAGCACTTCGCATCGAGCGAACAGTTCCTTCAACGCTTCCCTTTCTGCCGCATTTTCTCTCCGTTCCCGCTCAGCACTTCCCATCATCTGGAGCAGTTGGTCGACCTTGTTTTTATCAAGCCCTGCTTGCTGTAAGCGCTCTGTTAGGCTAGTCACCTGGATCTCAAGTTCTTCGATCTTCTTCCGATGAGTTGACAATGACGCTTCCATATAGTTGCAGATCTTGCACCTCTCAATGGAGCTCTCATTTGACGCCATATTTGTCGTCGCATAGTCTTCACAAGGGCCAACCCCCACAGTTCTGGGATAGGACAAAACCTTCACCCACCTCAGACGGGCCTTGTGTGCTCCCTGCGTCACAGTCCTGACGCCTGATTTCCGGGAACCCGGCGATCTGTACTGTGTCCAGGAGCGTTCCACTAGGCGAAAACTGTTCAGTTGTTTGGGATTCCAGCCCATCCTGGAGCCCTTTGGGATCAAATGTGGTTCCCGTGGCTGGAGACTCATCAGCACAGTCAACATACTCTTCGGCATCGTCCTGGCTCGCCGTTGGAGGAATCAGCTGTCGCCCAGAGAACACTTCATCCTCCTCGGCCGCTGCGGTGCTTGCCAGGAGTTCCTCGGAGGAAACACCAGACTGTAGATCCAACAGGATATTCTTGGGAGCGTCCCCGATGGCTTGTAAACGTTCTATGAGTTCGGTTTTGTTCCCGGCAGTAGAAAGTCCACGTGCCTTGAGCTCCTTTTTGAGATCCTGAACCTTCATGCTCGCCATTTTGCGAAAAAAAAAGGAAAGCGCGCGAAGGGCGCGCCGACTGGTGGCAGCTCGAGTAACTGACTCGCTGAAAGCGTCTATATTTGGGCAAAGAATTAGCGTTCGGCGACGCGCAGTTTATTTTTGCGGTAAAAAACAAACAGTCAATAGGGAGTTTTAGAATAGCGCACGCTAAAGCTTTGCGTACGCAAAGAATAGCGTCGTCGCCACTGCGCATGCTCCGAACGCAAACCAGGTTTTGCGCTTTGCGTGCGCAATTTTAGCGAGCGCTATTTCTTGGAAATAGCGTGCGTACGCAAAGAGTCTTTGCGCTTCTCCTAGGAGGATTCGTGATGAGAAGTTGGCTAAAGCCAAGACGAGCACAGTTAAAAAAATGGCGGCTTCCAGGGTTATGTCGGCGGCTGCTTTGGCGGCGTCGTGAATGCGACGTCGGCGGCATCCTCGCGACTGCGATTTTCAATGCGGGACGACATTGTACGTGGTTTGGCAACGACCCCCGGCAACTTGATGCTTGCGACGCGCGAACGTTTCTCGGCGAAGGTACGATGTGCGAAGGTCAGTACGCGAGACCTCTCTTGCCGAGGCGCCGCAAGCGGACACGACTTGTCAACCGCTCGCGTCGCATTCTCATGTTTAAACAATTCTAAAATAGTATTCTGAACCAAAAAACTTGTTTTTTTCTAAAGTTACAGCATTTCGTGTGTGAAATAAAAATTGCGACTGTATCTTGGTGGCGTTGCAAGCGCGAGCTGCTTGGGCTTTTGCGTCGCGGCGGAGAAACGCTATTCTAAAACTCTCTTGCGTCGCGTGCGCTAATACAAGCGCTAAATTTAGCGCTAGCGTGCGCTAAAATTGCGTACGTTATTCTAGAACTCCCTAATGAAGTTCGGCGGACACGCTGTAAGGCTTGCCGGCACGTCTAAAAGATGCAAACCTTTGATAGAAAAATTTTTTTAATTTAATATAGTATTTAATAAATTTATATCTCACGAATCATTCTTTGGCACCTCTGTCTTCGTCACTCTTGCTACTCGCATAGTCCAAAACCTGCACCGATATTGTCTCTATCGCCAGAATATTCCCTCCACGAGCTTGATAGGGAGTCAATTCCGCCTGGAGAAGTCTTCTCAGTGGTAAGCCAAACACGACACGATCGTCTTTTCAAAACGTCCGAAGCTTCGGCAAGGGCGTCGCGGAGACTCATTCCTGACCCTAGGCCCGCAGGCTTGGGTTGTGGCGGAGCACCATGGACAGGCTGAGCGCAAGGAAGCACAAGACGAAGAGAATCGCCAGACCGACGTACCAGAAACCAAGGCACTTGCTACTCGAGCTCGCAAGGCCGCCTGAGGTACACCTTAAGGTCTTCATCGTCGTCGTCCTTTACCAAAGCTTGCCTTTGGCCAAAAAAAAAAAAAAAAGTTTTTTTTTTTTTGTATTTTTGTTTGAAGTTAGGGAGCCCTGATATGATCCATGCTCATATAGACCCGTGGCCTTGACATAATCAGCTGAAAATTTAATAGAGCGCATGATCCAAGACCGCTTGATATAGTTCCTCGAAAAGCGTAATCAGGCATTTCCATGGTGGATTTGGCGCAATCCAAAGGCGCTTCATGTTCGCGCCTTTAGAGGTGCTAGCGCGCGCTTGCCCGCGCAAGAACATACCAGCAAAAAAGCGTTCCAAAACCGCCCCAAAACCACAATCGTCGTTTTGTGGCCATAGGCCAAGTCCGCACCAGTGCACGGGATTCGTGCGGAGCCATTGCGCTTCCGAATCCAACAAGGAATGATGACTCCCCCCCCCTCTTCTCGGAGCAGCCGGAGGAGGGGAGATACCGTGACTCCCCGAAAGCACTTGCTCTCACACTCCCATATTACGTGTTTGACGTGGAAAGCCTGAATATAATTGATTGATTGAACATGTTTTATTAATAAAACAGAAGTAAAGCGCGTACAACTCTCTCTAATCAATTGTCCACTGACATCGGAGAGAGAAGGGCGTGGGGGAATGGGGTGTGGATAGGTAGGGGGGTACCAGAAATGTCTCTATTCAGATGGAGTCCTGGATGTTTGCTGTCGCGACAAAGTAGGGGGCACCAGTGCTTTCGGCCCTACGTACAGATTTGGGAGCCCTGGGCCCGTTTTCTCGAACGCGAACCGTGCGTTAAAGTTAACTATTGTCCCTAGAAGGGGGAATTCTAGGTCACGTGACTGGGGAGAGCAGGGGCGCCGAAGGAGGAGCAGTAACTACAAGCAAAATGGCCACGACGTCGCTTAATGAGGGCTAATAGTTCTGCTTGGTTCTGCTGAACATTCATTTCGATCCGGCTGTTATATTAATGACGCACCATCAACTTATTAGCACGTCAAGCAAAGCGGTAGTTCAGAGGGACTACTAAACTAACCGACGGCAGCATTCCGCGAACGCATCACTCTTCAGCAGTCCGGAATCCAAAACATATGACGGTACATAAGCTAGCCTTGCAAGTGTTTTTTATGGTGAGTAAAAAAAATGTTTTGCGAACGAGTGTTGGTACATATTTATACTAACACGTTTAATTTGTTACACTATGCACGCCAACTCGTGAGCAGCGATTACTTTGCGGAGAAAGGGGGTTAGCCTCGATGAAGTCTTCGTTCTGGGTGAACAGCTGGGACATATCCCCGGTGGCCAGAAATTCAACGGTAACGAGAAGCTTCTCGTCACCAGTGGATCGGTTGGGCAAACGGAAGAGAGGGCAAACAGTTGAGATCAGCAGGAATCGCAGAAACGGGCGTCGCAAGGAACAAAAACGAGACTACAGCACCGGCGTTGCCAAACTGGAATGCACACGGGAAAGTTATGCGTTGTTTATGGCGAAACATATCGAAGGAAATGTTTCTTACATTTTCAAATATTCGTCGACAAACTCTAGCATAGTAGCTAAAATTTCTTTGTACCATCTGAAGCAAATAAATTGGTCTTCGAGTACAACATTTCTGTATTTTGACTTAAAATACCATACTATACTCTGTTTCGCCTTATGATGTACCGCAGGAAAGGCTACAAGCGCGAGCTCCTTGCTCTAGGGCACATCTCGGCGGCACAAGCTGTCGTGACTTAAAGGGATACTGAACCAAAGAATTTAGTGCCCGTAATAAGTGGCGCACGTTCTTTCCACCAGCCAGCAGCCGCCGGTGTGCGCGAGCACACGCAACAAAAATGACGTCACAGACCTCCATTCGCGGTTGAGAGGACAATGAAATGCATGGGCTTCGGACTAAAGGAGAATAAAGACAGGCTTTTCATCTCTACAAGTGAAAGCTACGTGCTTGTTAGACCAATTCATTGCTTACTTTTTACACCAGGCACCACTGTGTAAATAAAAAACTTGTCTTTATTCTCCTTTGGTCCGAAGCTCATACATTTCACTGTCATCTACCATAACACAGAACGGAACAGAAATTGATGATCCATTCGACATTACCAGCTCATTCAACGAATACTTCACATCCGTGTATACCACGGATAATAACCAGAATCCAACCATAGAATTCTCACCGAAAAGCATTCCGAGTGTTACCACATCTAAAGAAGGCATTTTTGCAGCATTGCTTAATCTTGATACTAAAAAATCTGTAGGACCAGACATGATCCCAAACATTTTTTTAAGACGGTATGCGGAATCCTGCTCAAATTTCTTGCTTGTAATTTTTAATAAGTCAATTGAATTAGGGCAAATCCCCGACGATTGGAAAACTGCTAAAATAGTTCCAATATTCAAAGCCGGAGATTCCCATCATGTTAATAACTACCGCCCAGTATCAATTTTGAGCAGCTGTGCAAAATTGATTGAGCATATTTTGTTTAAACATATTGTCTCTTTTCTTGAAGAGAATAACCTTTTCAATAAAGATCAACACGGTTTTAGACGTAATTTATCTACAGTTACGCAACTAGTGCTCACTGTGAATGATTTCGCAAAGTCAATTGACTCCGGATATCAGACAGACGTAATTTTTATAGATTTTGCAAAAGCGTTTGACCGCGTGCCTCACGGAAAACTACTCTTCCAACTGAGATCCTTATTGAACAATGAACAGATATCAAAATGGTTAGAAGCATATTTAAATAACAGAAAACAGTTTGTACAAATACAGGATTCCCGCTCATCCACATCAAAAGTAGAATCCGGAGTTCCTCAGGGATCAGTTCTGGCACCCCTACTTTTTCTAATTTTTATAAATGACATTACAGTGGACAGATCTGTTCAGATTCGCTTATTTGCCGATGATTGTATAATTTATAAGCAAGTCAAATGCTCAAATGACCAAGTAGTCTTAAACAAGAGTTTAGAAATGATCTCAGAATGGTGTGATGATTGGCAAATGTCTTAAATAAACAAAAATGTGCGCATATGACGATAACTAGGAAAAAAAAACCAATGAATTTTAATTATACTCTTCAAGGAACCGCTTTAAATACCGTATGTGAATACAAATACCTAGGATTAATCATAACTTCAGATCTGCGTTGGAACTCACATATTGACTTTATCTCCCGAAAAGCAATGAATAAATTATGGGCATTAAAAAGGAAACTGAAGGACTGCTCGAGCAAAACGAAACTAATGGCGTACAAAACGTTTGTTAGATCTATACTAGAGTATGCCGACGTTGTGTGGGATCCTTACACAAAATGTAATATTAACAAATTAGAAAGAATTCAGAAGAAGGCATTAAGATTTATATTTAACAAGTATGGCCGAAACACCTCGATTTCGGAGCTTTATGTACAGGCCGGCCTTCCGCTTTTAGAAAAACGTAGAAAGATCAATCGACTGAAATTTATTTTTAATCTAATAAATGGGAACTACAACTTGGATTATCTAGATTACTTTCACTTCAACACAGCTAGGTTCACAAGAAATAAACACAGTAAATCAATCACTGAAATAAAGTGCAGGACAGACTGTTACAAATACTCTTATTTTCCTCGTACTATCCATGCCTGGAATGCGTTA